AATTCCTAAATGAAATAGCTCTCTTACTTATGTTGCTACCCGATGCGCCCCGATTCGAGTCTACATGTCCGTAATTTATTTTAATATCATATTTTATGAGATTCACAACTTTTCAATCATCAATTTTATTATCTTCAGTCAAAATCTATTAAAAATAATATTTTAATCTTCACCCAACAGGGCTTAAATTATTGTGTTTTGAAGTCATGGAACACGTTGAAGGTAGATATTTTGCCCGAGATTTTTATTTCACTTTTTCTGTGTCTCTCAATTGCATACGTAAGTCCAGCAAGCAGTTAAAAGACGTATAAAATCATAATTCATATATGATAACGTTACACGACCCGGCTGACCCGCCAACTTTGATGATGTGATGTAACCGACAAAAATTATAAATATTTGTTCAATGTTCATCTGCAACTATAAATAAAAGGAAGCTAATGGGCAGAATTGCACGGACCAAAATTAACACTGAGTGAGAGAGAGAGAGAGAGAGATGGACTACGTCAGTGAGAGCATGAATAGTGCACTCGACATTGCACACGAAGAAGTTGAAGGGGTCACAAAATTCTTTCCTACTTCTACTGTTTCACATGAGAAAATGGTTAGATTGTTTGCCTAATTTTGTACCATTTCGAGCACTAGTTCAAGTCGTACGTTGATTTTGTATGGAGAAATGATATTTGCATTTTACAAGGCACAAGGTCTTTCAGAGGGATCATTCCCCGTGGATGTTGAGGATGAAAATCTAGCGAAATCAATTCTTGACAAGGACAAGTCGAAAGGAGTAAAAATCTTGTTATCAAACGATGCAGTTGAGGTTGACAGCATCAGCCATCCAGGATGGTTGAACATGCATTGACGCTAGACATGAATCAGATTTGTTCAACAATGCTCTGGATAGTGTAAAAACAGTTACGTGGAAACGTGATGGAACATATGACTAAGAAGTTTAGCCGAGCATCAGAGGTACCAAATTTTTTATTTTTCATCTCGAACTTCAATACTCATCAAATTCTTCGCCAAAAAAAATATAACTTATATTTTTTATGATTAATTGCAGACTATTTCACAGAAGCTATCTGAGCTCGAAGACAAAGAAGTAAAAATACTCGTTGGAATGTGTGAGATAGCAAAAAATCACCCCTTATGAAAAAAACCACCCCCCCATCCCAAAGGTTGAGTAATGCTATACGTACAGCAAATTTTTCACAGAACACGTACAGAATTTCAAAAAATGGGATGGGGCACTGCAAGATTCTTATTTCCTGACAACCACCAGGCGCCCCCTTTTACCCACCCACCCAACCAACCACAACGCCACCCTTTCCCCTTTTGGCATTTTCTTTATTTATTGGCTCAAATTTCGAAGTTATTACGTGAATGTTAAACGAGGTCGAAATATTACATCCTTAACACCATTCGAAGTACTCACGATCTAGTTTATCTCATTCTTAACCGCGTGCGAAACGGCTAACCGTAGCAAAAGTTACCAGTCGTCGAAATAGGCCGTTCCAAAATATATAAATATTTTTTTTCTTATTTTTATCTCAATTTTCGGAGTTATCACGGAATCTCAAACGAAATCGAAATCTAGTAATTTTAACACCATTTCGAAGTACTCGCAGCCTAGTTTATTGCATTCCTAACCGCGTGCGAAACGGCCAATCCGGGCAAATGTTCCTACTCGTCGAAATAGGTCGTTCAAAAATATATAAATGTTTTTCTTCTTATTTTTATCTCAATTTTCGGGGTTATCACGTGATATCAAACGAAATCGAAATCTCGTATTCTTAACACCATTTCGAAGTACTTACGATCAAGTTTATCGCATTCT